ACTTTCGTCCACAGGGAGCCCGGCTTTAGAATTTGTACATGAATAAAAAAAATCAATAAGTGCTTTATTGGGTTTCCTGTGTTTATAATTTGTTCATGAATAAAAAAAATCAGTAAGTGCTTTATTGGGTTTCCTGTGTCATTTGAGATTTGAAACTGAAGACGCTGATACGTTGAATTTCCGGTAATCGTACTAACCAGTAACTTGATAGCAGATTAACGTAACGTGATAGCAGGAGTAATGTAAGTAACTCGAGAGCAGCTTATAATTCAAATTTAACGTATTAGTGTAACGTACTCTCTAGTAAGTGGTAAGAAAGAGAGACTTCTCTCTTTCTTACCATTTACTAGGACGTGCGTTACACTGATACGTTACGTTAATCTGCTATCAAGTTACTGGTTAGTACGATTACCGGAAATTCAACGTATCAGCGTCTGGTTTCAAATCTCAAATGACACAGGAAACCCAATAAAGCACTTACTGATTTTTTTATTCATGTACAAATTCTAAAGCCGGGCTCCCTGTGTTTCGTCCTGAATATCGAGAAAACACTTTATACAGTGATTATTGGACCTTTAAAGAGTATTCTTAGGAAGTTTCAGCTGAATCCAAGTTTGAGCGATTTTCGTCATAGTAGCACTTTAAACAATTAAATTTCATTAAAATCTTTGATCTTGTAATTTTCAAAATATCAACTTTCATGTACAAATTTAATAATAAGTTATTACCCTGTACCTTTGAATCATTTTTTACTACTGTTGATAAGGTGCATGGATCAACACAAGAGCAGCAACAAAAAAGTCTTTTTATTTACCCAAGGCTAGAACTAATTATGGAATATTTAACATACGATTTCAAGGACGTAAAATCTGGAATTTTATTGATGAATCATTTAAGAAATTGTCTCTTTATCAATTTAAGAAAAAGCTGAAAATTGATTTAATTTCTAAATATTAAGATCAAGTTTTAATGCTTTTACAAATTAACTTAAATATACTGTAAAGACTGATGATGCTCTTGTGTGCTGCGTGTGTATTTGTATAGTTTTTGTCTTTTTTGTCACTTTCTCAATCATATTGACTTTTTGCCTATGTGTTTATACGGTGTGTTATTTGCTCATTATTATAATTGTAAATAGCAGAAATCCCGACCCTAAATGTAATTAATTTTAATTAAGAATATGTAAACCGACTTCCAAGCACTTTTAGCTTTCCACTTTTTTTTGGAAGTTGGTACCCCTCAATCTGTCTAACATATAACAATGTATCAAATTAGAAAATAATGTAATAATGGGTACAAATATAGTTATTCTTCATTATACACTTGCTTTTCTTGCAGCTTGTCGATTGCAAACAACATACCTGTTCCAAGAACCAATACGTCATCATCGATGATCAGGGAAGAAAATCTTGCTTGACGTGTAACAATTGTCCTTCTGGGAGGGGTCTCTATCCTCCTTGTGGTAGCGAACTGTACCACACTGCTCGCATAGACTGTTTTCCCTGCACTGAAAACACTTATTCAGACGAGTATGGCCCAAGCTCTTGTAAGTCGTGTGGAATTTGCTCGTCCCATGAAATAGTAAATAACAATTGCACGGCATCCCAAAATACCAATTGTTCCAAAGCATGTGCCCGGGGGTATTACTATGATACAACCACACATGGCTGTCAGCAATGCTCTGAATGCTGTGGCAATGGTGAAGACATTAGAATTGAGGAATGCAAGAAACATGACATGCCACGTTCGAAGCAGTGTTCTGTTCATCAAAGTCAACATTGCAAGAAAGGTACTACTACGTCATCTCCCGGTGGATTGCAACCTCACGACCATGATTCTGGACAGCAAACCACTTGGATTATAGGTCTGGTCTTTGGAATCATCGCGATAATCGTAATAACCGTGATAATAATCATATTAACAAGAACTGGAAGAATTCACGTACCACGTAGGAAAAGGAATGATGTCGAGGCAGAAAATGTCAGCTTCAACAGCAATCTGTTCGACAACTTGTCAGGTAAGCCGTTACGTTAAAAATGTGTTAATAGAGTTTTAGATTGACTTTTTTCCTCCCCGCAAACGGCAAACGTGACCACATTTTCATAGTTTTCGTGTATTTTACTTTACCTTTTACAAACCTTCTCACCAAGCGCAAATACTCTTTTGTTTTTCTACTACTTGGACTATTTTGCGATTCTTTTTCAGTAATTTAAAATAATTTTTTACTGGTCAACTGACGTTTCACGTTTGCCGTGAACGTAAATCTAAAACTCTCTATTCACTAGCCAGGAAATCCGCATACAAGGGAAAAACTGTGCCCGAGGTCTTGAATGTGAATCGAATTGAATTATTCGTTTGAATATAAAGACCAAGGGAACAGTTTTTCCCTATCGAGACCGACTTAAAGCTGGTAAGAAACTACCGACCGCTCGCGCAGCCAATCAGAGCGCGCGATTTTTAGGATACCGGACCGGGGGAAAAATATACTTTTTATTGCTCTTGTTTTTGATCGACTGCAAAAGACGGACTTATTAGCCTCGCTTTGTATTAGCTATTTATGTACTGTTTAATAAACGAGCAGGAGTGTTTAATCGAGGAGAAAACGACACATCAAGCAAATCCAAGTCACATGTGTGAGTGGCTTAGCCGGAAATCGCGGAACCCGCATCTCCAGTTGTGAACTACATAGCGGTGTCCAAAGCTGTGAGAGAGCGCCATAGCAGCGCATGCCATCGTGAAAACACAGCCTAGCTGAACGGAAGCCTGGTTGGTTTCCATGACAATTTTCCTATCAATTTTAATTCCAGCCCAAACAAACTCTAATAACTCATTATATTTTTAGCTTCACTGCATGATGACCCAGACACAATAACGCCAATAGAATGTATCTTGGAAACAAGCATTGGAGAGGCACCCAATGTAGGACCCCTAAAGACAAGTTTAAAAATCCTCCTCGATCCTTCAAGGTCCTTCGGGGGAGACATCAAGTCTCTCGCTGATGCCTTCGGGTACAACGGTAATAAAATAGATTTTTTGATGAAAGAATCACATGGGTCACCAACTGAGGAACTGTTGCGTGCTAAAGGACATAAAAGTATCAAATATCTTCTGGAAAAACTGGTTTACATTGAAAGGGAGGATGCTGCTAGAAAGCTTAGAGAATACATTAAGTCGCAGAACTGCGAGTGCGAACGTTGTAAATAGAGTTGATTTTTTTATATTTCGATTGTGATTCATTCTCAGAGGACTGAGCTACACATGTAGATTGTGTGAAGCCTGGTTCTTACACTAGCGACGAAATTCAAGCACATGCAAGTCCATGTTCAGGAGAGTAGGCAGAGGGGACTAGCTCTCCCCAAACTTCCAACCGGGCCTTCGAAGAAACAAAATGGCGGCTTTTTATAATTTATACAGTGTTTTTCAATATTTTTTTCAGTAAACATAAAACGTAAAACGTAATGCTGGGTTCTTTAGGATCTTTTTGGATCGACATTTCAGAAGCTTCAACAAAATGGCGGATTTTTGAATTCGATTCGACCGCCCCTACGAAATAGACCGCCAGTATTATCACGATTCATGCCTACACTTCCAGAATCCCTTATTGGAGTTTTAACAATTGAACATATATGAAAAGAGATCTTGAAAAGAAGGAATGTGGTAGTTCATGTATACCTAGGCTAGGGTCTATTGCGTAAATTGCAATATAATTATAAAGTAAAACTTTATTTGAAATTAATAAGAAGTGTGTATGATCAGTTATTAGCAAAAAGTAAGAAAAATATGATAATACAAATATATAAAAATATCTACTTGCACCCGGTTTCTAGCGCACGCTGGCTTCATGCATGAGCGCGAAATTCGTAATTTGTTGACGCAATTTGTTGGTATGTCGAACTCTTATTTACCACGGTTCTCGACCAATCAGAAAGTGTGAAAAATTACATTTGTGATTTTTAAAAAATCATTTAAAACATTTTTTGCTTTATTTTAGTGGACCCAGAATAATAATAAACAAATAAAACAGCTTTTCCGTGATCCGTTCAGTAATGAAGCACGCAGGAAGTTGCGTAAGCACGAAAGAAGTGTAAGGAGAAAAACGAGCCGTAGGCGAGTGCTTCTGAACACTTCTTGAGTGCTTATAACGGAGCGAGGAGATAGATATAATACACCTAAATCCAAAATGGCGTATCCAGGGGCAATCTTACAAATTTTCAGTATTTTCTTATAATTTGATGCTGCAAAATCGTCGCGTTCCTGAATGTAAGAAGAAAAGAAAGACAGAACAAGTGAACAAGTGTATACTTTGCATTGACACTATGTTATTTCTCTGCATTTGGCCCTGGATGCCTCATTTTTATGTAACACACTCGGCCTTGCGCCATTTTGGACTTAGGTGTATAGATATAATAAAGAAAAGTTATAAATCAATCAATTTCTCAGTATGGCTTTTAATGATTATAACCTGAGTATCAGGCTCTCCCCTTGGGCCTGATAATGGTTATCTATATAACTAAATAAGTCCTCAAAACTATGTAATTAAGCGCAGTGCATTGTTGGGATCCCTATGTACATTTTCCACATGGAAACTTTGCACACAGGAAACCCAACCAGCTGATCTGAAATAGTGACGTAGAAATGACATCACTGCAAAACTGAGGTGTCATGAAGCCTGTGAAACTTTGACCTGCGAAAAATMAAAAAATCAATATTTTCAAGATGGCGGCGAAAACGAGAGAGACTGTGGACGAGTATTTTGGTTCCCAAAGCACGCTGGGTCCAAGTTTTCGGGACCCATAAGTCCTTTCGGTCATTGTACCGTTACAGTCTCTAAGCGTGGAGACGGAACGGACGAGCGAGAGACTGTGGAAGAGTCTAAAACTTGTGTTATCAACTTCTTGTTACCAGCTCTTTTTTTTTCATTTGGTGGCCTGGAAATCAATAATTTCAACCAAGAGGAAAAGTGACACATCAGTTTTTCAAATTTTCTCGACTCTGATTGGCTAACATTGTCTCTCAGATCAGCTGGAAGGAAAGTACAATAAAAATTGGTAGGCCCCTTAAAAAGGTTAAAATTTATCTGATTGGCACCCTACTGCGAACAGGGACACACACGTGCAAAAATTGTTTAGATATAAACTACAAATCCCCATACATACCTTTGTACATGTAATGATTGTAATTAGGGACCGGTTAGGCATCAGTCGATCTTTAATCTTTATGATTCATGATGTTGCAACAAAATTAAGTCTTCCGAAAACTCCTCCCCTCCCCCCTCCTCCCACTCCAATCAAACCCACAAGAGTACCTGACTGGGCCTCCTGTGGTATTATCCAACATGGCGGCCACGATAGGTTTACCAAATGGTATGGGAAGGTACGTTTGTCAGCTACAAAGAGTCACTTTAAACTACTGTAGAGCTGGTGGAAGTAGTAGAGGACTAAGGTACGTAAAACTAGCTGGAATATAACGTTTAAAAGAACTGTCTAGGGGAGTATTTTCATATCAAGAACTTATTTCTCCACAGAGACTTCATCGACCAAAATGTGGTGTCCTTTGCTAAAAGTAATCCACAAGTTGCAGTGTACGTTAGGGAAAGAAATGGTAAACATCCAAGAATAGTAGCAAATTATTGTAAGTATGAATTATGAATTGTTTTAGGGGTAAGGTATAAAGGATATTTTCAGAATATTTCTTTTATTTCATATCACTGTGCTCCCTGACTACAGACTCATTTGTACAGGTTTAGTTCGTTAAGAGCAAAATCATTCATAAAGTCAACTGAAATGTAAAGAATTTTGAACTCAAACAATACCAATGTTTAGAAATCCTACAGGCTATAAATGGTATCTATGAATAGTTAACTTATAAAAGAACCTAAATCTGTGTAAGAGTCTATGGTTGTCAAAAACTGCAGTATACATTGAATAAGAAGGAGGGTTAATTTATTATGGAAATGATTAAGAATAACTGACTTCCCCCTACCCCTCCCCCACCACTTTCAGCATGGCTAGCACACACACTTGAAAACCCAGAGAAAACCCTTTGAATCAAAAGAAAGACTAAAAAAATTCTACTCCCATGTGATGATGACTCTGGGAATTGAACCAGTACAATAGAGGTGAGAGGCATGAGTGTACTACCTCTACACCACCCTTGAATTCCTTGTTTGGTTCCTCTAGTTAAATGCTTCTTTGAAGAGCAGTTTTCATATGACAGCCCAAAGCTCAGTGCTGTATACTAGCCTTGCTGTGACCGTGATGTTTAAAATTTTGATTGGCTTTTTTTTCCCCTTGTGCAATGTGATTTGTCTGGCATATGCTGTACCATGTTATAACTGCACTTGTGGTGTGAGTTTTTCACCATCATATGGAAACTTCTCTTTCCTCTTACTGAATGATGTATCTTACCTTACTACCCCACTCATTTTCAGCCCCAACACAGTGCACATTTAATAAAGTATTAGTAAAAATACACAGGTGATTATTGAAAATCTGGCACGCTGATTGGTCGAAAACTCATACTATCACAAGATAATCACCTCCAGTGATAATCCAAAATGGCGGCCAGCCGTTTTGTGCTGTCATCGGAAAAAAATGTCTTTTATYTTCTTTTTTTTCTTTTTTTGAAAGAATCACCTGTGTATTTATACTAAAACAATTATTTGCCTAAGCCTCAGTGAATATCAGAGAATATTTACCTCGCTGCTCAAAGACTCGCGTCTCTGTAAATATTCCCCCATATTCACTTCGCCTTCGGCGAATAATTGTTAATAAATGTATACTATTTACGTATTGCATTTCTTAACAATAGTAAATGGTAATAGCAAGATCATAGACATCAAGAATATGGAAATAGAAGATATCAGAAAATGGCTGGAAAGACTGCGTGGAGAATCTGGAGTAAAAATAGAGAAAATAAGAAAACCTTGGCATACAGACAATCCTTCTATACAAGGCACATGGACACCATTTACCAACAAACCTTCATTGAAAATGTAGTCATTCTCACTGTAGATGTAAAAAACTGGAATGTAAAGGAGTCTATGTTTGAAAGGGAACGAATGCGCAGTTTTGACATTCCTTTAGTAGTGACAAATGGTTATTCAAACAACCAGGGAACATGGACACCATTTACCAACAAACCCTCATTGAATATGTAGTCATTCTCACTGTAGATGAAGGAGTCTATGAAGGGGAACAACTGCCCACTTTTTACATTTAGTAGTGACAAATGGTTATTCAAACAACCAGGGAACATGGACACCATTTACTGACAAACCTTTGAAAATTTTTCCTGCATACTAGTTTTTAGTAACTCCCTACTCATCTGATGATAATAATGATCATGTTCTTACAAATGAGGATTTCTATATTTTGTTTTATTATATTTTTCATATTATGTCATACAGTACATGGCATTTATCAATAGACCCATTCCGCTTGGGCACAATGCCTTCCCATTTTCAGACCATGTGTCATTCTCTTAAGAATAAGATTCTTTGTTTGAGTTCTATCCATATTTTCTATATTTTGTTTTATTATATTTTTCATATTATGTCATACAGTACATGGCATTTATCAATAGACCCATTCCGCTTGGGCACAATGCCTTCCCATTTTCAGACCATGTGTCGTTCTCTTAAGAATAAGATTCTTTGTTTGAGTTATATCCATATTCATGTGTCTTCTCGTGTGCAACTGTTAAACAAAGAAATAATACTCTAAGGAACAACACGTGGTCTGAGATGGTAAAACATAATGCCCAAGCTCAAGGTCTATTTTCGGTTATGATTATTTTTGTTTATCAATTTTTTTTTGATTCTTTAGTATTCCGAGGTAGATGAAAAAACTGGGTCGAGTTGGCATTGCAGTGCATTGTGGGATTGTTTAGGGGATGACAATAGACGCCATCTTCGAAATATGTCCCCTATGACAGCCCAAAAATGCACCGCAGTGCACAGGGAACCCAGCTATATTTTTTTGCTTCTTTTAGAAAAGTAACTTTGCTCTTTGTGGGTTTCCTGTGTTGGGATCGATTTCCTATTACATAAGCTGTAATCAGATCTGCGCTCTAGAGAGTGCGTTACCAACGGTTATTGATTTGAATTGAATCGGCTATCAGTTTACAGCTCCGATCTGATCACAGTGCAGATCTGATTACAGCTTAAAAACCGATCACAACACAGGAAACCCACAAAAATCAAAAATAACCTTTCTAAAAGCAGCAAAAAAATATAGCCGGGTTCCCTGTGCACAGTGCCAACTCGAGCCAGTTTTTTTCTCATATTCCGAATGGCTAATATTATCTATTAATGGCATAGTGTTCCTCCTTCAAGACCACGTATCAAATTTTGGATTATTGTCTCCATTTTCCTCCAAATTTAAATTTAAGAGAGAGAAGAGTACGATATGCTGGGCTTTACCAATTCCCATCTGTGTTGCAATCCCACAGAACTTGCAGGCCAACCCAAGTTAACCCCTAACTTCAGGTAGCTTCTCTCTTGTTATTTGGTATTGTTATAAACGTTTTTACATAGTGCTTAAATTTCATTTTCATTCACTTGTTGTATTCTTCGTTTGCACGTTGCGTCATCGCGGCCATGTTGGTGCCATTTAGCGAAAGAGTTCTTATTAAGCCCTGTTTACACTGGCGATTTTTGCTGCGATTTTTGTGACAATTTTCGGAAATATGAAATCTTTTGTCTCATCCTTCAAAAGAGACATTCGTCTAGGAAAATCTTGGTATCCTGAAAAAAACTTTACAAGTAAATTCTTTACCATTATTCATTATGGACAAAATCGCAACAAAAAAACAAAAAACAAAACAAAACAAAACAAAAACAAACAAAAAAACAAAAACAAAAAACAAAAATAATCGCAGCAAAAATCGCTAGTGTAAACGGGGCTTTAGCATCCATTGTTAACAGCACCACAATGGCTGCCATGTTTTTGTCTTTTGACTCTCTTGGGAATGCATGCTTGTAACCCATCAATTCAACACAACAATACAGTCTCAACTAGTATAAACTAGTCACTGCTTGTTTATCTGTTGTTCTATGACTAATGAAGACTTTTTTAAATCTACACGAAATATTCAAATGTGTGGTTCAATTCGCCCTCGCTGTAGCAATTGCGGTTAGAAACACAAACCATGGTATTTTTACTGTACACATGTTTTGAGCAAGTACCACCAAGAACCGCTTGTTCTGGAAAATAGAAAGATAAAAGTGCCTCTAATTATTTCAAGTAATGTTCAAGATAGATATAGCAAAGCGCAACCTCTGTACACGATAATCTCTTACTCACCCCTGACACTGCTCAAGTACGAGTCATGACTCATAACAGATATAGCAATGCGCAACCTCTGTACACGATAATCTCTTACCCCTGACACTGCTCAAGTACGAGTCATGACTCATAACAGATATAGCAATGCGCAACCTCTGTACACGATAATCTCTTACTCACCCCTGACACTGGTCAAGTACGAGTCATGACTCAACAGATACGGCATTGCGCAACCTCTGT